CAGCCCCCAGAGGGGCCGCTGCCCCCAGCCCCCCACCTCCCTCCCGCCTCCACATCCTCTGTCGTGGCCTCCACGGATACAGCCACCAGGCTGCCAGCCCCTACGCCCCCCGACTTCCAGCTCCAGTTCCCGCCCAGCCAGGGGCCCCACAAGTCCCCCACGCCCCCTCCAACCCTCCACCTGGTCCCTGAGCCCGCAGCACCCCCCCCACCGCCTCCTCGGACCTTCCAGATGGTGACCACCCCTTTCCCGGCGCTGCCCCAGCCGAAGGCTCTTCTCGAGAGATTTCACCAGGTAATCGGAGGCAGGGACCAGCCCCACCACCCACTCTGCAAGCCCTGCCCTCCCCCTCCAGTCTGATGGGGAGTCCCTCCCACGCCCCAGCTTTCTCTTCATCCCCAGCCCTGGTGCCTGGCCGCCGCCGCTCCTAGTGTGTGCCCCCACCCCTCAACCGCCTGTCCCCCTCCTCAGGTGCCGTCCGGAATCATTCTCCAGAACAAGGCCGGGGGGGCCCCCGCCGCCCCGCAGACCTCCGCCAGCCTGGGGCCCCTCGCCAGCCCCACTGCCTCTGTGCTGGTCAGTGGGCAGGCCCCATCCGGGACCCCCACCGCCCCCAGCCATCCCCCTGCCCCGGCACCCATGGCCACCGCAGGTAGGGGAGAGGTAGCCCGCGCAGGAGAAGTGGGGGGGCCTGAAGGTGGGTGGGCAGGGGGAGAGGGACGGGCTGGGGCAGAGCTGTGGGGGCGTGAGCCCAAGGGGTCCCCTAGACCTCACAGGACAGGGAAGGTGGAGGAGATAGGGCTGTCTCCCCAGATCTGCCGGGGCACCTGCTTCAGGGCTAGCGGGGCTGCCAAGGCCAAAGGACCAGAGGAGAATGGGGTGCAGGCTTGGGGGTCACGTTGTGGAGGGGCCTTTGTGTCAGTGACCCCTGAGCCCTGTCTGCCCCCACCCCCACCCTCAGGCCTCCCTCCTCTGCTTCCTGCCGAGAGCAAAGCTTTTGCCAGCACCCTCCCGACCCTGAGTGTGGCCAAGGCCACTGCGGCTGGGCCAGGGAAGTCCTCCGGGCTGCAGGTAAGAGGCCCCCCGTTTGGGGGGGCGCTAGGGCCACAGCGAGGTCCCCAGGGAGCCGGGAGAGGGGCCGGCAGGGCGGAGGAGGCCAACAGGCCGTCACAGAGCAGTCTGGGCGGTGGGTCCAACACCAGGACAGCCCAGATGGGCGCATGCCAGAGAACGAGACAGATGGAGCGCCACAGACACCAAGACGCAGGGTGACGATGGGAGCGGTGGCTCGCATGCGTGCCTGAGGCCATCACTGGGGGTGGGAGCAGGGAGAGTTTGAGGCTGGAGGAGGGGGGACGTGGGGAGACGGTTGGTTGAGGGAGGCAAGCGAAAGGAGGCGGTGAGACCCTAGACGGAGCTTGGGGGGGGGGGATGGGAGGGCCAGGGTGGCTCACGATGAGGGGCCCAGAATGGAGGGGACAGGGCGGAGAGGACTGAGGCAGAGCCTGTCTGTGGGGAGATGGAGGGGAGGCAGGAAGATAAGGACACAGCAGGTGGGGGCACCAGGATGCCGGCCTCAGAGGCTAGCGGCCTAGAGGGAAGTCGGGGTGGAGCCAGGGGCAGAAAGAGAGAACCCTGGCAGCCAGGCGGGCCAAACCCGGCACCATGAGCGGAGGCCAAGGCCATCAGATGAGCAGGGAGGGAGCCTGCAGGAGCCTGCCTGTCCAGACCAAGAGTCAGGTGGAGGCCGATACGCACGCCATGGGAGAAGGGGCAGGTGGGGAGCCAGGCAAGGCCCAGCCCAGCTCTTCCCGGCAGGTTCATGTGCTGGGCAGCACATCTGGCAGCTGGGGCCAGGACCCCACCCCAGGAGGGGGGGGGGACCCGGTGGGGAGACGTGGGCCGGCTCTCCTCTTTGTCACAGGCGGGGTCGAAAGGGGGTCAGGGCGCCAAGGGAAGGCCCCTCGGCGGCACGGCCTCTGACTCACCTCTCTGCCCCGCAGTATGAAAGCAAGATGAGCAGTCTGAAGAAACCCCCTGCGCTTCAGCCCAGCAAAGAAGCCTGGTGAGTTGCATTGCAGCACTGCGCACCCCCCCCCGCCCGCCTTCCTGGAAGCTTGGGAGCAGGGCATGGAGACCACCTTTCAGAAGTGGGGTTGCGCGGGCCCCGCCTCTTGTTAGCTGTGTGGTTTGGGGCAATATAATTTCCCTCAAATACCTTCAGTTTCCCTTCTAGAGAGTGGGGTGGTAATAGTAGTGATGAGAGGGTAACAGGTGAGGATCCCTTGCGACTGTGGTATTGATGGGTGGGTGTTTGGGTGAATGAATGGAGATCTGGATGGATGTTTGGGTGGATACATGAGTATTTGGATGGATGAACTGACGGGTGTTTGGCTAGCTGGATGGATGAATGGATGGGGGCCGGGGTGGGTGCATGGCTGGCTGGCTGGCTGGGTGTTTGAGTGGATAGATGGATGTTTGGGTGGGTGGGTGGGGTCTGGGTGGACAATGGGTAAATGTTGGATGCTTGCCTGCATTTTCTCTCTTCTGCTCTGCTTCTACTGTGTTTATGAAATACTCACTCAGTGCCCAGTCCTGTGCTGGATTCTGAAAACAAGACAGGGTTCTGGCCCCCATGGTGTGGTGGGGGTGCTGGTCTTCAGCTCAGGGTAGAGATGAACATGTCTGGGGAGAGGGAGACAATCACACAATGAAGAGACATAACTCCCTGCCACGCGATGTGGTAGAAAACAGCCCAGGAGAGAACTGGATGGTACCACCCAACGGACCAACCTCCCTCGCTCCCCACCTTCCCGAGGTTGCTGTTGGGCCTGAGGCAGAGTAAGGACGTGCTGACCCCAGCTGGCGGGGGACAGGATAGCACGAGGCCGATGCGTCTCAAGCCCTGGCATCTGGCTCCCAGCTCTGCCTCTTCCCCACTCTGTATGTGCTTTGGGTGGAGGAACATCACTCCGCCGGGCCTCAGTTCCCCCATCTGTAGAGTGGGGATAATGATAGCACCCGTCCCTTGGGTTGTCGCCAGAGTCCGTGAGACAGAACAAGCGTGTCCAGCCCACGTTAGCGCATTTCCCTGCTGTCTGTGTTGGGGCCCGGGGGCTCAGGGTCGGGGTCTGGTTTCTCCCGGCCTCACCACCAGCTCTGTGTGTGTGTGTGTTTGTGTGTGTGTGTGTGTGTGGTCTCTCCCCACCCCACCCCCCAGTTTCCTGGAACATTTGCACAAACATCAGGGCTCCGTCCTGCACCCTGACTACAAGACAGCCTTCCCCTCCTTCGAGGATGCCCTGCATCGCCTCCTGCCCTACCATGTCTACCAGGGTGCCCTCCCCTCCCCCAACGACTACCACAAAGGTGAGCCCGCCACTCCATCCCCCACCCCACCCCCCGCTCCCCCAGGACTCTCCCTCCCTGGTCCCTAGCATGGGGAGGGGGGTGGGAAGAGACCACACACACGCAGGTGCAGACACCCCTCTGCATCCGCTTGACTGAGGCTCAGGACAAGCCCCGCTCCCCAGCGTCTGTGCCCCTGGACCTTTTCTCTTCCTCCACAGTGGACGAGGAGTTTGAGACGGTTTCCACGCAGCTGCTGAAGCGCACCCAGGCCATGCTCAATAAATACCGCCTCCTGCTTCTGGAGGAGTCCCGGGTAGGGTGCTGGCACCTTCCGCCCTGGGAGGCCCCACCCTTTCCCCTTGCTCTCTTTGGGCCCGTTGTGG